TATATATGATCATTTTTATTTGATTTACTGACCTGAGATACCAGCAGTGCAGTAGACAAGAACAAAGATCATGCCACCAAAGGCCCAAGCGATGCCAAGAATGCCAACCCCACCACATTGATCGCCGTTCTTGGTCGTGTCAATCTGGCTCTTGTAACCTATCACAGTCAACACAGTTATGTACAGGAACAAGAGCGTGGCAATGAACTCGGCAATGATAGCCCTATACAAAGACCACTGGGTGAGCTCCTCGGCATCAATCAATGGTGCTGGTGGAGGGTCATGATAGTCCTTGGCACTGAATTCGCCTCCAACTTCAATGTCCTTGCCCATAGCTGCGACTCCTTTATGAGAGAGTTTGGCGAGAGACAAAGCTAAAGAGTTTTGGTTTCAAGTGTTATGGTAGAAGCGAGGGGAAATGTGGTGGTATTTATGGGATGCAGAGGTAGGAGAGTGAGGTTGAAATTAACTTCGCTTCGCCGCCCAACTCATAACTTTGCTTTCTTTAACTTCCAGACCCCACCTTACACTTCATGTGAGATGATTGATGTTTGGTTTCTCTGCGTTTTATAATTTGAATATTTTTTTTAATTAGTATACGTATTCAGATTAGATTCTACCTATCTTAATTAATTTTATAAATTTTAAAATTAATAATTATATAAACTTTTAATAGTTATATAATTTATAGAATCAAACTATTAATTTTTAAAAAATAAATTTAAAATCTAATCAATTAAACTACATCACTCAAAATTTAATAATTTAAATAATTTAAACATAATTCATGTAAGTTCTAAATACTCTATCTATTTCTTCTCCTTTCCTTTTTTTTTTAATGTGAGCTTTGCAAGTTTTTATAAGTCTAGAAAGTATGTTAATTAATAGATTAATAGGTCCATAATTTAAAATAAAAAAATTGGACAAATCAAACAAGTTTGATGATGAAATGAATATAAGTTTTAATTTATAGATATGTCCGTTTAGCTTATTATTTAAACAGTTTTATATGTTATTGACATAAAAAAAATTATTAAAATTTAGGGTTATAAAATTAGATTTTTCTTTGTTGTTGTAATTTCTATGAAAACTTGGATTTTTTTTAGTTGTGCACTGGATTATTTAATATCAGAGTTTGGCTATTTTTATTGTGGGATATCTCGATTATTTAAAAAATAAAATTAAAAATATAAAATTATTATTTAATTTTATAATAACTGAAATATTTAATTAATTTTTTTAAATAAAAGGTTGGTTATACAAAATAAAAATATTAAAATGACTATAAATTTTTACCCCAAGTAAACTGCTTCAATTTTGTTTTTATTATATAAAGATTATTATTATTATGTGCACGGGAATGACCAAATAGTTTTTTGCTTTATATAAGGAATAAGTGTGGAAAGTAAATAATAGATTTAATAATTGTGGCCAAAAACAAACGATAATTATTGATTAATTATTAAGAGAGATAATGTAAATAAATATTGTTTCAACCATCACCTTCTTTTTTAATTTCAATCATTAGTGGTTGAGCCTCCAATCCAATCCATGTGTCCAGATATCTCCTCCACCTCTTTCGACGTAATGGCAGCTCATCACTTTGCCTTTTCCCCAATCAACCCCGTACACTTGTCATCTTTCTTTTGGACCGTGTACTGAGATAGTGCGACGTCGTTGTAGTCGAGTGGACATATTAGTTGCTAAAATGAATACCACGTCAGTGTGTTTATTTTTGTCTTTAAAATGTGTTTTTAAAAAACTTTAATTTTTAAATTAATTTTTTTATAATTTTAAATGGTTTTAATATTAAAAATAAATTATGTGGTGGGTTAGATCACTTGCGAAGGCCGTAACAGGTCAAAATCACAGGCCTATCCTATTGTGCATAGTGACGTTGGTGGCAGGCATTGACCCACCGGCCAAATAGCACCATTCCTTTCACCACCACCGTCCATCAGCCTCAGGCCAAACCAAACAATCTTATCACCGTTGATTCTCCAAACCACTCAGTTCATGCCACGTTAATAACCCCACAAAGCCGCCACCAATAAAATATCCGTGTTTGTCACTAAACGATCACTTCCCCGATTAAAAAACAACCTTAAGAAGCACCTATGTCATTAGCCTGGCGATCACAGGAGTATTTGTTTCTTTTATCAGCTTTGCATTGCCTTATCTGTTTACTTGGGTTTGTAGGATATTCAGTGGGCCGTGGGAATTAGTCGTGATGCGCGCAAGCTGGCCCGAACACCCCACGTAAATCAAAAAAAAAAAAACAACCTTAAGAATTATCATCGATAGCTTCCATAGCTATAACACCAAGAAGCAGAAAAATATTATGTGCTATAATTTGATAGTTTAAAAATATAACAATAATTGTTTTTTAAAATATTTATTTTAGAAAAGATACTAAAATAGTATTTTTTTTATTTTTAAAAAATTATTTTTAATCTCAATACATCAAAATTATTTTAAAACATAAAAAATATTAATTTAAATTTATTTTTAATATTTTTAAAATACAAAAACAATCATATATCTACCCATATGAATTATTTATTTTGGGCGGTTGTCCACAAGTGTAGAAAGCACATCCTTAATTCTCTGTGAGCTTCTTCTACATTTTGATAAGGTTACGGGAATGGAATATGCCTTCCATGGTAGAGCAATGCTTCCTATCAGTTCCCCAGACCATTTATTTCTCTTGGAAAATATTTCTGCATAGTGTTTCATATGGATAGAAATAACAACTTCCGGTTATAGCCGTTGTTTCAATAATTATACTATACATTAAAATTGTAAAGGTATTGTGTATATAGGTATTGTGTATATAAATTTATTGCAGTATAAATCACACTGTAAATATAGAATATATATACCATAAACGACACTATAATACTAAGAATGTTATTTTTTTTATTTTTGATTTTAAAAACTATTGGATCACGTTTGGTAGCTAAACCCAGTAAAATTGGTCCAGTTACTGAGCATGACTCGGTAGCTTTTACAAGAAAAGTAACGCCTTCTATGGTATTACAATGTTATCCACCATGCAAATATTTTATATTTATAATGTAATTTACATTGTAATAAATTTATTTACATATTTTATGCACAATGTTTTTGGTTCCGCAACCAAATCCATGTTTTCTTCTAAAAATTGTTAGATCTAACTTTCAAAACTAACTTTTACAAATAAACCCTAATAATAGTTATCTTCTTTGTTTAACCTAACCGACCAGAAGATTCCTTTATTAATAGCTGACTAGAAATCTAAGGATTGATGGTTAGTTAGTTCTCTATTTTCCATCCAGTAATAGAATTTTTTTATCAATAGAGCAATCAAAAATCATGTTTTTAATTTAAGAGAAGGTTGTACTACTTAATTTAATAGGAGGGGTAAATGGATCTCATTTCAAAACTATTTCAACCAAGAATTGATCTTTACTATAATAAAGGAAAACAATATCAAGTTCTTTTCTTTTATAATTTAGTATTAGTACTAGTTCTAAAATTTATATTAATTTATTAAAACTAATTATTTGTTGTCTCCATCAGTCAAATAAAATAAATTATTTCTGTGGAATTAAAGAATTTTATAAATTTCATTATACCCCCAGCCAGACCTAACACTGTTGAATTTGGCTGACTAGGTAGCCAGATCCAAGTTTTTTTTATAAAAACTATTAGGTTTAACTAGGCAACTGAATTTGATTTTATTAGGTCTAACTAGATAGTTGGATATAAATTTTCTTTCAATAAGTCTAATTCGGCAATTAGACCCAATGCTATTAGATTCTAAAGCTATTTGGTTTGGAATTACAGTGAGAACTAATGTTCTTGGATCTAGTTTGACTATCAAATCCAAGACATTTTTTTCATATTTTTTATATATTTTTTTATTTTTATTAATTTTTATTAACCTACTATAAAGTGTATGCCAATATATTATTAATATTTATTTGCAAGATATGCAAAATAGAGATAATAATAACAACGTAATAACCTTTTTTTCTAAGCTGTTGTCTCTTCTCTTAGGGCTGAAAAAGAAAAAGAAGATGTAGAAGTTAAAGAAAAAAAAGCAAGATTGTATTTATGTCTCAAAATATAAGGTTTCAAACCATTTTTCTATATGCATATGCTTCCTTTTATATTACATGTATTAACTTACTTTATACAACATAAAAGAGGAAGAGATTTCCTTTTATATTACATGTATTAACTTGCTTTATACAATATAAAAGAGGAAGAGATGTAATGTTGTAATAATAAAATAATATTATTCTACTGTTCTTGACATCACATCTAATTAATATAAGCATGAATCATTTGTTTGTATTTAATATGATGTGATGGGTATCTTAATTACTAGTTTAGACGCAAAGTACGGGAATTGAATTACCTTTTAGCTATACAAAGGAGTTTGGTTTAACTTATATGCTAAACCTAAGACGAATTGGGTCAGCTTTTCACTGTACTTAAGAATGGTCAAGGACAGGCACATCATAACCCGGCATTGAGTTGGGTGCAGACACACCATAGTCTAATATGGGGTTGTGCATAAATGCGTCACAACTCAACATGAGCTGGACATGTTTTTACTTAAATTAGGGTTGGGAACAGAAGCATTTTTATTCAATTTAAAGCTAGGTACGGGTATATCATGATCAATATAAAGTTGAGTGTTGAAAAGACATAATTCTATATCGGGTTACAATTTTCGTATAGTAACTTTTAATAGTAACTTTTAAATAAGGGGGGTCTTTCAAAAACCATGACCCGTCACTCATCAAGATCCTCTCCAAAATTGAGAAACGAGGGATTATTGTGAGATACAATAAGAGTTTTTATCATTTCAAGATTGTAAACTGCCCCAAAATCTTCACACTTTTTGCTTCAACGACCAGGGATTAAGAAGGGTTGGTGTGAATTTGATAGAAATTAGTATTCTAAAGACAACAGCAGCAAGGAAGTGATGAGATGTAACACCGCACATATGTCGTATCACTCTTGTTATCTTTTTATCCCGAAATCACTCGTGTTAAAGATAGGTTCCCACTCGTCTCTATTTTCCTTTTATTTTACAAGATGTAGTAACAAAGAGAACGTAGAGAGATTGGCTAAGACAAGCAAGATGCAGCACTAGTTGATTATGAGATAGGGAGAAATCAAAAGAAAGACAAGATGAAAACGTTTGAGCACAAACAAAATAAGTGCCCAATACGCGTACAAACGGGACCCAATACAGACATCTTGACCACGACTGCATACTTTACATATTCGCCAGTCCCAAGCCCTTTTGGACTACTTAAATCTTTGCATTACCAATAAATTGAGGGGAAGCATTTCAGTCACCATATATTATAAAATTAAATGTTGGAAGAGCTCCTGAAGGACCCAAGGGCTTTAACAGCAGCTGCTCTCAGGACGTATTGGTGATATAAAGCAGCAATTGCGGCCCCAATGAAAGGCCCGACCCAGAAGATCCACTGAGAAAACAAAAGCAAGAAAATAAAAATATTTACATGAGCATAAATATACAGGGTCAGATGCAAAGCTAACAAGGAGGAACGTTAGAGGGCAGTTGAAAGGCACATACATGGTCATCCCATGCCTTGTCTTTGTTGTATATCACAGCAGCTCCAAAGCTCCTAGCTGGGTTGATACCAGTTCCGGTGATTGGGAATACTGGCCAAGTGAAGCAAATCCGATGGGAAGTGGTGCCAACACCTATA